AAATGCTTGGATTTATTTAAGTCCAAGTTAATCAGCTAATTATGTTCAAAGAATTTAATTAGATTTAAAAATATATGATTTCTATCAAACTAGGTGGAATAAGAGTGACTTGATTGAAGAATATTTTATCCAATTATAAATGCGTTTGTAGATTTAGAATTTGTTGTAAAAACGTTTTATCAAAGTAAAAGTTAATTTTAATAAAAACACCTCGTGGCCGTAAAAACATTTTCTTTATTGAAATATTTATTCAAGTTCACACTTGAAATTAATTTGTAGTAATATCTCTCCGCAAAATTTTCATTAGTAAACGCCATTTAATTATAATAGCAAATGTTTTTATTTGTCTTCAAGAAAGTTTAGCTTTTTCTTTTTAATTTGGTTATAAAGTGTTCCGAGAAAGTAGTTTGTTCTTGTGACAGAACGCTGCAGTAAAGCATTTTACTATAAAGTACACGCCTCCTTATGTCCCGACGATGCAAACATGTCCATAGCCATAGCCTCGTATCCTATTAATTCTGAAGCATACAATCTTCTAACTGGACAATTTCACACACAAACTAAATTAAGGTAATACATTGAGTATTATCGATTAAATTTTTATTATTAAAAAATAATAAAAAATATTGCCTTCTACAAATTTTTAATAATTAAAATTACTAACAGTTTTCTTGTTTAAGTGATATAAACTCAAAAGCCAGAGCAAATTTTGTAAACGTTATTACCACCTTCAGTTTAACGGTACATCAGCTAAAAAATAATCACAAATAAGTTTATGATATAAAAAAACTTCAGTATAATTTTCTTTTTTGAGATTTTTTTTTTTTAACTGAAAATATTAATCTAAATCTTTGGTTGTAAGTGAGTCCAGTCTGGCCAAAAACAAATTTACTAGACTAGCATAAAATATTTTAAATTAATTGTTGATCTTTTTAAAGTCTAGGATAGTAGACAGAGCTGCAAGAATCAAGGTGAGGACGAACAAGGAAAATAAACAAAATGTCAAGATATTGAGATTGACAAATGATCTTTTGATCATTCCTACAACTTTATTGGCGGTGTTATTCTTAGTACTTACAAAATAAAAGTCAAATTACTGTCAATGAAGATTCCTTTATTAACGAGAGAGTTATTAATATTAACTGAAGTATTGAGATTTTTATCAACAAGTATATAAATCAATTTTGTATTTGTTGGTCCTACGGGAAAATTTTGTATTTGTTGGTCCTAAGGGTATAACTTTACATTTTTTTACATTAAAACTTAGTTTTTTGTAAATTAAGTTTTAATATAAAATAATGTAAAGTTATACTTTTTGATAGCTCACCATGCAATAACCTGCATACTTTATTGCAAAATATTGCATAGTGAGCTATCAAAAAGCAAACTGTATAACTTAGTATCATCTGTAAATACAGATACAACATCTGAAACCAAATCAGAAAAATCTTTATTATTTATCATAAAAGTAAATAATGGGGGACCCCACTATTTACTATTATCCATTCTGAGTATGTACCACCAACAATGATACTCTAATGCCAATCTCTTAGGCAACATTAAAATCCAATTATAGAGTTATTTATTCTATTTTTCTAGTTGTGAAATGTGTTGAAAGATTTCAATATATCTGATATAAATTTTCTATATCAGTTTTATTCTCCAAGGCTAATGTCCAACATCAATCCTCACTGAAGTTTATTGCATTTTCAAAGTCGCATTTATATAATTTTTACTATTTTCAGCATTACTTATTGTGTAAATTTTACTTTAATCTTGTTTAACTACTATTAACATAACGTGATGTAGCAGATCTAGTTTAACTTATTGATTTGTTTATTACTTGTAACATTGCATTAAATTATTGCATAAAATAAAATGCTATATAAAATAAAAGACATTATAAAAAAAACTTTTTTATTGCAAAATAATTATCTTCTAATAAATTTGTGTGTGTGTGTGTGTGTGTGTGCAAATATGTGTGTGAAGGTCAATAATGTATATATATATATATATATATATATATATATATATATATATATATATATATATATATATATATATATATATATATATATATATATATATATATATATATATATATATATATATATATTTATATATATATATATATATATTATTGATGTTATTATGTGTTAGACAGGGGTACCTTTTTTGTAATTAAAATCTTATAACAGTTAGAAACAATAATAATAACGTATTTATTTCTTAAACGAATATATTTAACAAAATAAATAGACTATAAAAATTATATTTTATAGATGAAATCTTCTCAAAGTGTTTTCATTCAAAAGTAAACTTACTATTTTAATCTTGATACTTAAGTATAGCAATATTGTAATGTTGAAAGAAAAAAAATACGGTATTAAAAAAGAATTTTAATACCGTAGATGGGGGTAACTAAAGCCACTTTCGAAATTCAAACTTCTGCCCAAGTCAGACCCTTTAATTTATAGGTTAAATAAATATTGCAAAACTTGGGTCTGTGGTCATACATTAAAGAAATATATTCATAAATTGCAGAAATATACACTTTTTTAATAAAAAAAATGAAGACATGGTGGCTTAAGTTACCTCTGGAAAAGGGGTAACAAAAGCCATCCATTAAAAAGCAATGTTTGGCTTTAGTTAGAGAGTGCTAGGGTAACTAAATCCATAAATCATGCATCTGTAACAATAAAGAACCACTATTGACAAGAAAAAAGCTTTATTGTTTAAAAAAAACATTAAAAAGAGACAAAAATATTATTTAAAATAGGTCTTGTTGAAATCAGTGCTTTACCGGTAGTTTATAAAGAAAAGTATAACGTCCTCTGTTTTCTTTGGATGGTTTCACAATTGAAATGACGTCTGTTAACTGAATGTCCATTTCGTCATCAACATTTGGAAATATATAGTCATTTCCTTTTGATTTGGAGCTTCTTCTGAAAAACGTTACTGTAACTTCGTTCTTCTCAAAACAAGTTCTAAGAATGATTCCATAGAACTGTTTGGTGGTTTCTTTTTTTGTGTTCTTATCAAAGATGAGCTCAACAATGACGTAAATATCAGGTTTAAGTTCTCCTTAAGAGACTCCTATTTTGGGGGGTTCGTCATAAGTTGTTTCTTCTAGTTGTAGATCTACTGGTATCTCCGATTCCAGGTCACTAAATGTTTCTGGATCCATATCTGAATTAGAGTCTCTCAAAGAATACTGGTCATCACTATCATCAAATGAGTCGGAATTCGCAAGTTTCTTATTATGTTTCAAAGCCTTTAGTTTGCTGTGGTTCTCCTTTGTTTTGGTATTGGGTGTATTGGACCTATTTGGTTGAGGATCATCATCATTGATCAGAATTGTGTCTTCAATCCCTTCAATCTCCTTTCCTGGTGGGACATTAAGTTTCTTCTTTCTTCTTCAGAATTAAGAACTGGAGGCCTACCACATTTGTTAACCTTACCTTTCAGGGCAGCAGTGAAAGCAAATCTTGATATAGCAAATTTCTCAGCAATCTTTTTTAAAGATGACCCTTTCTTCACTTCTTCTACAGCTATTTTCAGCGTTTCATCTGTGTAGTCCTTATACTTCCGGCTACCAAGCTTCTTCTTTGGGTTTTGAGGCATTTTTAGTCCTAAAAAAGAGAAAAAATTTATTACTTAAGGAATATTGACATCTTATAAAGTATGGGGTAACAAAAGCCACCTTTATGATGTGGCTTTAGTTACCCCATGTTGTGTATCACTGAAAAAAAAAATATCACAGCAAAAGAAAGAATCAAGTTATAGGTTATAACCTTTAAAGGTGTGATGAAACATAAATTGAGGTTATGTTTGTTGAGAGTTATGAGAATTTAAGATTAAAAATGATATGTTCAGAGCAGAAGTTATGCAAGGTAACTTTTTTATCGATTTTTTAGGTTAAATATATAGTTTTACTGTACACTTACCGTGATATTGTTTTAATAATCCAGACAAGAATTTGGAAAGCAGTCCAAGTTCCTATTGAAAAAACACAACATCAGCTGTTGAATCCAATCAGTGCTGCCACTATCAGCGTCCAAAAATTACCTGCTATAATGGCTTTAGTTTCCCCGTAGGCTTTAGTTACCCCCATCTACGGTACTCTTACCACTTCTTCTCGTAATAGTATCTGTTTCAAAACAAATTACCAACACTTCTTCTCCTGATTCACTCTGTAAATGTTGAAATAAAAATACTTTTCTTACTTCATCTCTTTTCATAAACTAAAATTTTTATTTTGAACTCTTATTTGTTTTTGTAAAAAAGTTAATAACATAAGGATGCCTGTTTACGTAAAATGATGCTATTTACATTACATTTAAATGCTATTTACATTTACATTTAAAGACATTTAACAAAACTAAAGGAAATTATGAATATTCCTTAATGTTACGCATGCGTACCAATATGAAAATTTTATACAAAGCCAATATTGGCAAACAATATTTCGCCAATATTGGCATAACAATATCAGTAAAACGATAATGGATAATATTGGCGCAATATTGTTTGCCAATATTGATAAGACAATATTGGCATAATATTGCTTGACAATATTGGCGCAATATCGGATATCTTGGCCTAGATTAGCCAAGATATCCAATATCGTGCCAATACTACGCCAATATTGTTTGCTACTTGGGACCGGTTCTATTGAGAATTGCAAAAATTGTCCTAATTCATAAACAAAGCGGTAAAACATCCACCATTAACTTCCGCATAATTAAAAAGATACCAAAATGATTTCATAAAGATCTAAGAATTAGAAATCAGTTTGCTCCCTATAATAATGGGATTCAAAGTAAGTATTTTATAACAACCTGTGTTGCACAAGATTTTAGAAATTCTTCTAAACTTAATGTTCAAAGTAAAGCAGTTAGTTTGCGAAGTATTTTGTTTGCAAATAAGTTGCAACTCCCTCAAATTGAAGCCCCCAAGTATTTATACAAGTTGCAACCCCCTTAATTAATTTGGCCATGAGTGAATTTGTCATAAAACTAAAAATGATTTATTTTAATAATATTATATCTCATAATTTATGAAATTATAATTAACTACTGTATTTAAGACTTTTTTTTTTTTTTATAAAATCTAAATGTAATTAAACATTTAGATTTTAATTTAACGATACAGTTAATCTATTAATTAAATCTAATCTATTATTTAAAAAATAGCACACTAACCATTAATCTAAAGTTTAAAGCTATAGGATAACCTATAGCTTTAAACTTGCTAACTGAAAAAAGTGTAAATTGGCATTAGTGCGTCAAACAGGTTAGCAAACATTACGAATAGGTATAAGTGCAAAATTTGATTAAGTACAAAACAGTTACAAAAACAGGCAGAAGGGTGAACTGACATAAGTGCGTGTAATAAATTTGCAGTTTGGAATTATGCTAAATTTTGCAAATGCGAATATTTGTAAATCTATTTAGCCCACTTATGCCAATTTACACATATGCTAGTTTGCACTTATAGCAGTTTGCAATTATGCCAAAGTTTGGAATTCTTTTTGTGCAGTTATGCCCGTTTGCATTTATGCCATTTGGCATTGTGTCAGTTTTTGTAACTGCTTTGCACATGTGCTAGTTTGCGCGTATGAAATTCACGGTTATTCAGTCATCCCATTATGGTAAAACGGCTAACGTAGAGCCATGCATGGGATTTGTATTATGGATTGTAAGATGGGAGTAATATCAATATAAAATTAAACATAGTATTTATAGGAATGCACTTTTAATTTACTAACCTCTTCATCATAGCTATCACAAGTTTTTGACAGTTCTTACCACCAATACTTTGAACTCTTTGTTTCTAATAGAAGGAAATCTGACAATTCCTAATTAAGTAGTAAAAATTATATATTGTAAAGAAAATAAAAAAAAAAGAAAAATCTGTCAAATCAGTATTTAGCAATTTACAACTGCAGAGATACTACAGAGTTACTAGATGAAACATTGTCAAGTGCTGAGTCAAACTTATCAAATTCTATTATGCTGTTCATTTCAGTTACTACTTCTTCTTCACACTATTTTATATTAGGTTTTTTGCAGCCTTGGGTTTTTATCTCATTTAAGAGAAGCAACACACAATATTGAAAGTGTAAACAAATTTACACTTATTAAATTTTGCATAGTCTTTAATAAACTATGTAAATAAATAAATTTAAAATACATAAATTTAACAATTTAACAACTTTACTGGTGTAACCCTAAACCAGAGAAAAACTAATAGACAGTGAAATACCTAATAGTGGCAATGCTATATTATATATATTAGCGTTTTTCTCAGATTTCGGGTTAGACAAGAAAGATTGTTCCATAGATTTATAGTTTTTATAATATTGAAATATTGGATTTGATGAAGATTATTTAAAGTTAAAATTGGAACCTCATCATTTTAATGATGTTTTTTAATGTTGACAGTCATGTTAGCATTTTACAACAAACATTACATTATTATATTTAACTAAAGACTTACTTGCTTGAGATAATGGAAATCCATAATGTTTATCCTTTTTATTTAAAGATGATGAAGATTGATGTGTCTTAAATGAATCTCTTGGTCATCTTTGTTTATTATTTTTTGACCTACACAACACAAACATAGAAAATATTTGAATTTCATCTAACAACTTGTCTTCTTATGTAGCAATTTTACAATTAAAAAATTTTTACAAATTACTTTACAGATTATTAACTTTATAAGTAAAATAGGGTATATAGTATGGTATATAATATTATAGGTTTCATACTGCTAAACATTTGGTAATAACACCAGAATATCATTAAAGAATAAAAATTTTAAAATGACGTTTTGAAGTAAGTCACTTTCTTTCTTGAAACAAATCATCATATTTTTTCTTTTCAGCCTTTTTAACTATAGTAATTCCTTTATAAAAACCACTGATATTATTATTTTTAATTTTTAGAGTTAAAGAAGAAAAACTCTGAGAATGTTGTTCCCTTTTCTCAAATCCAAATAAATTTTTTGCGTTAAAAGCTGTTGATAATTAAGTAGAATTAAAAACTTATTCTAGTTTTTTTAAGCATTCAAGTTTACTCAACAACTAAGTTATTTAATAGAGTAAAATAATCTAGCTAACCACACCATTAAAACTTTCTTAATCATATCTACTTGATTCAAATAGAAATACAAACACAACCTAGTTTCAACGAAGGCATACAACTTTAAACTAAAATTACTCCAATATATTTTCAAATTTAATTCTACAAGAAAAGAATACAAACACTTGGTTGATTTAAATATATACTAATTTATATAATTTTTATTTAAATAAATTAATTCGCCTAATCGAAGGTAGCCATTCCAAACGATTTTTTTATAATTAAAATATTTAAATATAATTAATGTCATTGTATAGAGCTTGGTTTGACTTAAAAAATGAGGGGTCATTTGGCCTTTGAAGTTAAGCGGATCAAAAGTTATTGACCTTTTTGTAGTGAAAAAACGGGTATTTTTTTGACAAAAGGTATAGGGCTTAAGTATGGAAAATTTACTGTGAAATGGCACCGAAAATGAAAGTATTATTGACATTTGAATAACTTTTGAACCGATGACACATTTGACTTGAAATTTTCCATAGTGACCAATTAACTATAAGAAAATAAAATTCCAAATTTTTTTGTTTAGAAATCTGTCGGGATTGACCAGAAATTATCTATTTTACAGACCAGAGTTTTTACTAATTTATACATTTTTAGGGTCATACTGACTTTTTAATAACTTTTGAAACGTTATTACATTTGAATTGAAATATTCTATAGCAATCCAACAACTATAAGAAAATAAAAAACCAAAAGTTTTTTTTAAAAAATCTGTCAGGATCTACCAGGATCACCTATTTTACAGACTGAGAGTTTTTACTAATTACTATATATTTGGGGTCATACTGACTTTTGAATAACTTTTGAATGATTATTACTTTTGACTTGAAATTTTTTATAGTGATCAAAAAACTATAAGAAAATAAAAAACCAAAATTTTATTTTAAAAAATCTGTTGCGATTGTCCAGAATCATCTACTTTACAGCTGAAGGGTTTTACATTATTTTCTTAGTTTTGGAGAATAATATTTGGGGTGATATTATAATTATACCATGTGAATATGCATAAAAGAATCATGGAATCCAAAAAAACAAACATTTGAAAACTATTGCGTAATTTAAAGACCAGTCCGTGAAATAATCATATAAATTACTTTTCGGTCAGTAAATTGCTGAAAATGGGCTGTTCAAACAAATTAAACATATCAACTTTAAATAATTTGTAATTTTTTTAAAATTTTTGATATTTTCGAACCGTTATTAAATTTGACTTAAAATTTTAAATAGTGATCCAGTTTTTATTAAATCTGTCGGGATTATCCAGAATTGTTTATTTTACAGACTGAAGGGTTTCTACTTATTTAACTGTGTTATGATGAAAAAAATTATGGTTGCACTATGAAAATATGCATAAAGTAATCATGGAATCCAAAAAATACATCATTTAAAAACTATTGCATAATTTTCAGACCTGTCAGTAAAATTATTGCATAAATTACAGACCAGTCATTAAATTACAGAAAAAGGGATGCACAAACCAATTGGGCATATCGAACTTAAATATATTTGATATATTTGAACAGTTATTATATTTGACTTGAAATTTTAAATAGTGTGCCAGTTTTTATTGAATCTGTTGGGATCATACAGAATCGTCTATTTTACAGACTGAAGAAATCTGAAATTGAAGTTTTTGATAGAGATACAAAAAAAATTATGGCATTTAATTTTCTTATATACTATAAGAAAATTAAATGCCATAATTTTTTTTGTATCTGTCAAATTATCCAGAATTGTTAATTTTACAGACTGAAATGTTTTTATTTATTTACCTAGTCTTTTAAAAATAAATTTAGATTTAAATCTTTTAGAAAAAAAAGAAAAAAATTTAGGTTATATTATAAAACTTCATGCTATATGCATAAAGGATTGTGGAATCCAATTAACTCATCTGTTTAAAACTATTGCTTTATTTACAAACCGATTAGAAAATCACTGCATAAGGGCATTGAAATAAATCATTCAGAATTACCTATTAAACAGACAGAAGATTCTTTAATAAAACTAAAATTCAAATTTAAACTCTACCTAAAATTGTAATAAAATTATTATTAAAAACAATACATCTAAATACATACAATAACACATCAAATAACATTAGATACACAATAATTTAAAAAAAATGTTTGTTAATTCATTTTAAAAATTAAAAATTAAAAAAAGTTATAAATTAACAATTAAAACTAAATAAATATAAAATAAGAAAATTATTTTTAGAGATTTGTGAACTATCGAAAACACCTAAGATGAAAAAATGAAAACAACATTAAAACAAAAAATATTGTTTGTCTAAGATTTATCTCTTGGCTTTAGTGAATGATTAGAAGTAGTTTCAGTAACGAAACAACCTAATAATCATTTTTAACGATAGACACCAGCAAGAAGGTAAGCCAAGTTGTCTATCAACACAAAACATCACAACAATAACATCACAATCACAAAACACACAGACCCGGTGGCACTAAACGCTGCAAAAAACGCTGGGGCAGATATTCTAATGACGCCCTTTCTCTCTTAGACAAGGAGCAAAAATGAATTGTAAACATAGTTGAACCTGCTCTTGCAGCCAACCTCCAACCATTATCACATCATTGTAATGGTGCTTCTCTTTCTCTTTTCTACAAATATGGGCACTGCTCTAAATAGCTAGAGTCCCTTGTTTATCTACTAAAATTCATTCTCTAAGTGCTCCATAAACTGTTATTCTTCTATTTTTTTCCTCGAACATCAGTTCTTTGGAATTCGCTTCCTTTATCTTGCTTCCCTGTTTCATATAATTTGCAATCTTTTAAGTCATCTGTAAATTGTTATCTTACTCTACAAACTTTATCTTTTCTCTTCCAGTAACTTCCAACTCCTACAATGATTGCTTGCAGCCTAGTTGGAACAACTCACAAATATACATACAATGACTTACTGTTGTTTCAACGCTGTGCCACAAGACCAACAGACACAAACATAAATAAAAAAAACAAAAACTTGATCAAAACGACTAACCTGCATTATCAAATGAAATTATAGTTATTCCACAGTTCCAACAAAAGAGTAAGATACATATAATGACTTACAGGTAGATAAACACAAAGATAAACATAATGACTAATGGCTACATTAATACAAACATACATATAATGACTTACGGGTGGGTCAGCACCGCTCCAGAGGTCCAACAGAACACAAACATACACATAATGAGTAACAGGTACATAAACACAAACATACATATAGTGACTAACAAGTGAGTAATAACAAACATGCAAATAATTGCAGACACACCTACAAAAACATACATGCAAACACAAAAAAAATGTAAACACAAGGATACATATATTGACAGGTATGTCAGCACAAAAATAGAAAGCATGACTTACGGGTATGTCACCATGACGGCAGATGTCCAATAGAAAACAAATATACATATAAAGAATTGTCGGTGCGCCAACACTGCTCCAGATGACCAAACAGAACACAAACAAGAACACATTAAATTGAATGACAATAAAAATAATAATAACAATAATATTATTAATAATAAGAATAATAACAAACATAAATACAATAAATTAAATCCCCATTGTGTCAAAAATGATATTAACTGCATTTTTGTTTTTTACAAACTTCGCCTTCCACATAACCATCAGCCCTCTATCCTTTCCCTCTACCACAACCATCAGCCCTCTCATCATTTTCCTCTACCACAACCCATTTCATTCTCAACTCTTTGACCAACTTAATGTCATACTTATCTTCATATCCATCATATAGTATATGAAACTCACACTCTTCATCAAATTCATTGTCGTCTAGGACACTTACCACGAGCCCTGAATACCATACATCCTTGCCATCATTATCTACCATTTTATGTTTTATTCTTTTTCCTAAAAACTTTGGAACCCCTCCCTTTGATGTGCCTGTTCTTATTTTACTTCCAGTTTCGATAATTAACCTAGCGTCATCCTCTAATCTGACTTTTTTTTTTAATTTTAACAAAATTTCATGTCTTTTATTAATCTGTCTGATAACTGAACATTTTATTGCAGTTGCGCATTGTTCAGGAACGTCTTTTAAAAATTTAAAAATTGATATTAGATTGGTTTTTAATTTATCAATACCAAATTTTTTGTAATACTCGCCTTTTGCCTTTTCTCCTAATTGTAACCACTTTTCTGGAAACTTTTGCTGTAATACTTTTTTTCGAAATTTAATTTGTCTTTGCAACTTCATTACAATTTCATTTTCAGTTCCTAAAATTTTTTTAAAATCCTCTTCACACAAAATTAAACCACCATCCTTTGCAATTTCTGTTGTCAAAAACTCTTTCTCTTCGCTTGCCTTTTGTTCCTTTATTTCCTTTTCTAAGTTGCGCTTGTCCATCTCATCAATTTTGTACTGCAAAATATTTGCTTTTTTTTCTCTGTACTTTCTTATATACCCTTTTCTATTTTGCCTTGCTAATATAACTAGCCTTTCAATTTCTTCCTGTGATTTTCCATCTATCCAATCAGCTGTTTTGTTGTTGTTAAACATGATCACACCAGCTGCAGCTACTGTTGTCATATTAGGTTTCATTTTTAACCTGCGGTCAGAGGAAGCAAAGTCACGTTCAGACACAACATTAGTACGTGGGCAGTTTTGAGTTTCTTCAAGCACATCATCACCCGGATTGTAATATTTTCCTCCAGGCAATTGGTCTCTTAACTGACTCTGAATCATAACCGAACATGTGCAACATATAACTTCAAGACATTCTTGTGTAAAGGCATCCAAAAGTAGGTCATTACAATAAGAAAATAAATAATCAAACACTTGATTGTGGATAACGTGTAAGGTTATCCCATGTTTTTACAAAAAACATGATGCATTTG